CATAAAACAAAGGTTATTTAAAATTTGGAATCTTATTATGACGGACAACAATAGGGCTGTATTTGGTGCCGGTTGGGGGCCGATGATCAAGATTCGATAAAATTGATTGGCGGCATCATATAATGACAGACAACAATGATCGAATGATTAAAGATATTAGTGTTTATGACGATAATTAGGTGACGATAAATATTGACATTGATAAATCAAAACACAATATTTTATTAATATTTGTTAGTTAAAAAGAAAGAAGGAATCTCTACATTTAAAATGGCAAAAGTGGGGAAAGAAGAATGGGGAAAGAGGAGCTGAGTGGGAATCAAAAGAGCACTACAGGGAGCGTTATGAAATGTCTTGAGCTTTTTGGTGGCTTTGGGTGCTTTGCTAAAGGTGATAAGGATGGTGTTCAATGCGCATACGAACAAGTGCATGGAGCATATTTAAAATTGTCTCTTCTCATGCCTAAAATGGATCTAGCCATGCTCTCAGGCATGTTAAGGAATTTGTGCATTTTAGGGAATTGTTTTCTTGATTTATAAATTTAACATAATTTTGACAAGTTTTTATACAACTTCTAAGATAAGAAGAGCATGTATGATATAAAAAGTATGAGCAAACAAAATGGGCTGTAAATATTAATTATTAAAAATACATCATTGATCACTTTATCATTCATATTTCTCTTCATAGAATTCAGTAGTTTGACATAGTTTTGAGGCATTTACATAGATACCACACGAGTCTCATGTATTAACAGATTTAACACTTGAGCATCCGTATTTACATGGATAGCACTCAAATATTTAATATCACTAAGAATATCATTTTTACTTGCTTCATACAAGTGAAATATGTATTTTCATGTATGGGTTTATGCACAAAAGTGTTCTAAATGTAAATATAAAAGCTTAGCTGTTAGATATGTAAATACATAAGAAATATTGTGTGATAGGTATAATTTTGATTTATATGATAAGGAAAATAAGTCTCAAGTTTGCGAGGTCAATTATATAAGTTTTGCTTGATTGGGATTGGATGTGGGAGCGTTTATGTGCTCTCGGCTCAACTCTTGTGGTGTTTTCAACTCTATGCCACATCAATGTTGCCACCAATGCCTAGTTAGGCGAGCCGTGACTTGAAAAGGTCGCAAAGCAACAACGGCTTAAATCCATAAAATCCGCCTCACAGCCAGATTTAATAAATCTAGTTTACCTCGCATAGTAGATAGAATGGGGAGAGAGATGGAACAGAGGAGAAAGCGACAACGGAGAGATGGATTTAGTTTCTGATTTTTTTTTTATTTGGTTGGATTTAAGTTAAATCCATAGCTAAATCATATTAAAAGTGTGTCGGCAAACACACCTTAGATGTTATTTTAGTATATATGGTTTAGGTTTCATCTTCTAAATTTGTTTCATCGCATATATATTTTTCACAAGATGTTAGCTTTATATTAAAATAATTAGATTTGTATAAGGATGAGCCATTTTTGGGTTGTATATTTAATTAAATGTTCTAATTGCTAAATATTAGAGCGTGCAAGCGAATTTTCCTGGTGGTCCATCTTTAAAAGTTGTATGATTTATATGTCATCAATAAATTTTTATCATCCAACATAAATCTAGAAGTACGACACGAAACTTGAGATAATTTTTTAGCAAGAAACTTTCAGACTTAAATAAATAATCATCCAGAGCTCATATTTCAACAAACTTAAAGTCAAACTGACTGGCTCGACGAGATATAACAAATGAGACCAAAGTTGGTCTAATCCAAGTCAAATTAAGTCTAGATCAATCTGTTAAGCCACTTTTCAACGTTTTCAGTGTCTAATTAGTAGGGAAAATTTATACTAAAACTAACAAGTTTAAAATAAAATCGAGTGTTTCGATGAAACAAATCCAACGAGCACAAAATCACTCAGTTCTGACATCATTAAAACACTTAAATGTCCACAAAACTTTATGTGATCATGGAACTTCTTCACGTCATCCGATCAACGTGGTTTGGATTCGTTCCTTATTTGCAATCAATACTGTATAAATAGATTTGTACCCTCTTCTTGAGAGGGGACCTTAAAACAGAGAAAGATCGAAGCTTGAATAAGGAGATGAACTCATGTGTTTAACATCAAAGGTTCAATGAATGTCACATGCTCCTACAGCCACCGACCATCATCGTCCACCGCTCGTTGGTCGTCGTCGACTACCATCAGTCTCCACTTGCTCCTTGATGCAAAATCCCTTACAAAATTACACTGTGCATTGTAGAATTCCAACATACATTATGGTACAATGAAGCACCAAATATAGCGGTACGTCCTTCGGTACGGTGCAACGACATACCCAGAATATGGTGTGACGATGCATCTTGAAGATTGAGCAACTCACCTTAAATATGTTTAATGATGCATCTCACAACAACAACTTATATCTTTTGTATTCAAAACATGGCAACATTCTCCAAAATTTTGAATCTCTATTCTCATAACTCACTATTACGTCCTATGTGATCAATTATGGCATATATGGTCTACAACTCGTGCAGCTACCAATTCTGGCCTCTGTAGCTTACAAACATTATCATAACTCATGTAGCTCCCAACTTCATCCTCTATATTATATGAATGTTATCACAACTCATGGGGCTTTTAGCACTAGTCTTTGTGCCTTACAGACATTATCTCATTTCATGCAGGTCTCAAATCCGACAATTGTAACATACGGAGGTTATCTCAACTTATGCATCTCCCAACTTCATTATTTGTAGCCTACGAAATTTATCATTGCTCATGAGGCTCCCAACTCCGACTCTTGTGACTTACAGATGTTGCCTTAGCTCGTGCATCTCCTAACTCTATCTTTTATGGTCTATTAACGTTGTCTCAACTCATACAACTTCCAACTCTAGTCCCAGTGGTCTAAGAACATTATCGCAGCTCACTGTTATGACCTATGTAACCAACTACGACTTACTTGGCTCACAACTTTTGCGGCTCCCTAATGTGTCATATATGACCAACCAACGCTTATGAATCAACCATCTAGTACTCACATGTCCAACTACTATCATGGCTTTCAACTATAGTCTGTTCGACAAGCTGGCGTTACAGTCATCGTCTACAACATTCACGACGCACTACTACTTATGTAGCAATCAACTACGGCCATTGCAGTTTACTATTGTTGAGTACTATGTTTAATACATAAAGATTATGGTTATTATCGACGAACTATTGTTATGCATTTACAATAATCAATTGTTTATCTTTATCTTTCTTAATTCAAAGAAGAGTTGACATGTGTACTCAAAATTCAAAGTAGATTCTTTCAACTAGCTAGACCAAATGAAATTTTTCCCCTTCCCGGAGTTTTTCATGTAAAAATCAAGGTGTTTCCTCCTGCTTATTTCTCTCTAATAACCAAAGTGTTTGTTGTATTTTCGTGCAATTTTAAGATGTTAAATAAACACTCTATTGTCAGGGACCTTCCGACACACATCAATAATATTGAAGTTAAGGTGTTATACAAAATGCTTGCTTTTGTGGTTTTGAAGTTTAAAGTTTGTGGTTATTGATACACATTAAAAAAACTATCAATAAATTATGCAATTTTGATACAATTATAGAAATTAGAAACTTTTAATATCAACTTCAGTAGTATTTGATCTAAGAGTTTAGAAATCTGATAGTCAAGATGAACGTCTCATTAAAATAATTTCAATGACATTAACAGTGTCATGATTCGAGTTTAAGTAAACCTAATCAAGTTAGTTAAAATATAATTATAAATTTCATGCAAAAATTTTATGTTTAGAGCTATGATTCACGAATATGGTTTTGGGGACATGAATAAGAAGTGACACTAACACGGACAAGTGACTCTTTTATTATTCAAAATATAATATGCGGATACCCTTTATACACTAATATAGAGAGACATTTACATACATACCTCCCAATTCTATTGTATTTACATATCTAAAACCCAAACTTTGTGTTTTTTACTTTTATACCACCCAAATCTTTCATATCACTATTTTAACTTGTAAAAAGTGTATTTTATTTAACTTGTAAAAAGTGAAATATGTCTTTTCGTTCATAGTTAAGCTAACATATATGTAAAAGTTGAAGTTTAGGTCTAAGATATGTAAATACATAAAAATGAAAGTATGCATGTAAATCTTCTGAATATATATTATAAAAAATATCTAAAAATTAAATAAACATTCATTCTAAATGAAGTCTTAGCAAATCTCACAAGTAAATCTTGAGTTATTTCTATGTTATTTTCTTAGAGTTCTTACCTTTGAGCATTTTACTAATCGTCACTCTAAGAAATCATTTTCACCTAATTGTCATCGCTCGACAATAATTATCATCAGCTGTCTATCGTCATCTGATTGCATGCCTATTAGCAGCACGGATCTCTACCGACCGACGGTCAACTCCTGACTTTCACTACCCTCTTTTACTATTTCTATAAAAAAAATTTATTACATTCAAAAGAAGCTAAAACAACAATTTATATTTTGTGATCGATCATTTCCATTCCAAAGAAAGAATCAACTTTTATAATCTTTTTTTATATAATTTACAATCTCAATTGTCTTAGATATACTTTTTTCTTCTTTTAACGGCTCTTATTCTAATTTTTTTTTCATCATTTATAGGCTCCTATCATGCATACATATAAGATATTTGCATCATAGCAGCGCGCCGTGACTTTTTTGATTGGCAAAGTCGTGAGTCTCCAGGGTCACAGGTTCAAGCCCGCTTGAGTGCATTTTACTTGCAGTTGGAATCAAGTGGTCAGGCACATGAGGTTGGTTAGAAGCTCGTATCATAATCTCCAACCAATCTTCAACTATATATATAAAGAGCCTTCTTATAATTGATTTCCAATTCACAGAATATGTGGTCATCTTGATAAAGAGCCTTCTTCAATCACTGGGCTATTGGATACTTCCAAAACTTCATGAAATTTGAATAACTCCCAAAATTAAAAATCACAATCAATGTCACATGCAATTAAAGCAAGTCATTGAGAATAGTTGATTTGTACAGCTAATAATCAACATGTGTAAAAAAAATTTGGGATTTAATGATGTAACAAATGGACTACAATCTTGAACATTTAGAAATGATGAAATGGATTATCAATGTCTCATAACTGCGTTCCTGATGAGTTGGAGAGAGTATGATATGTCGTCGAGAAGCTCGTGCGGATTTGGAATCACGAGCTCGTCGACCGACAGCACCGCCTTCATCTTATTTATATAACTTTGAAAGTGAACCGTCAGCGCCTACAAAACAAATTTCCAAAAAATTAGAACTGTTAAACATTTGGGGAATTTAAATAAATACCACTATGTTCTTACTGATTTATATATCAAATGCCTGAACTTTGATTTTTACATTTATACCATATCACATCAAAAATACCACAATTTTAATTTTTAAAAACTGAAATACACCATTAAGGCGGCATATAAATAAAAAATGAAGTTCAAGTGTTCAATATGTCATTAGATAAGAAATGAACAGAAGTATGCATGTAAATCTTCCTAAACATTTGTCAATATAATCAACAACAACAACAAAGCCTTAATCCCACTACATGGGGTCGGCTACATGAATCTTTTTTCTCCATTGCATCCTACTTAGTGTCATTTTAATTTAGTTCTAATAAATTAATATCATTTTTTATACAATAAGCTCAAGCCTTCCTAGGTCTACCTCTGTCTTTCTTAACATAAGTCGAATCTAAACATCAACTCTCCTAATCGGATCATCAGTCGGATCATCAGATGGTTCATCAGATGGTCGACGTTTAATGTGACCAAAACATTTAAGGCGACTTTCTCTAATTTTGCTCATCACTAGAGCCACACTAACTCTATCACGGATATAATCATTTCACATTTTGTCTCTAAAGTGTAAAGCTACTCATCCACCTAATCATTCTCATCTCGACAACACTTAACTTAGTACTATGCTTCTCTTTTAAAGGCCAATATTCAGCACCATAGAGCATTGCAAGTCTCACCACCATCTTAAAAAATTTTCCTTTCAATCTAAGAGGTACTTTTCTATCATACATAAGGCATGAAGCATTCCTCCACTTCAACAAACCAGTTTGAATTCTAATATTAACATCCCCATCTATATCATCATCACTTTAAACAATACACCCGAGATATCTAAATCGTTCACACCTTTTAATAATTTGATCACCCATAGTTACACTTCTGTCACTAGAACTACTACTACTAAAATTACATACAATAATTTGAACTATACTACTAATAATTTGTCAATATAATCAAGAAACTCAATTAACAGGGATTCAGAATCTATAATTGCAACAACCAGAGCAGCCCAAAAAGAAAAAAAAAAACTAACAACGCCTGGTTAAGAGTATTAAGATCAAATATCTACGAAATTTCAAATGGGTCGCTCATGCTGATCCAAAGTGATTTAAGATCTCTATAGAGAAAAAAAATCACTCTCAAGTGTTACGCAGAAAAGGGAGATTTTTTTGAGGATCAGCGAATAGCAAACCAAATTGAATTCCTTTGAACAGAGAATGGAAAGTTAATTTAAAATGTAGATAAACGGTGCAAAGAGAAAGATCTTCCCTAAAGTTTGTGTGTCCGAAACATGACCATATTTCCTTATAAATATGAGAATTAGGATCGGTGCCATTGCACAAAGAATGAGTAGTTTGAATGTGTTGTAATTGGTTGTTTTATGGGCAAATCATGTTGGAGATTGGAGGCAATTCTTAGCAAGTAGATGAGTTGTAATTTGTGAGCGAGTACTTTCAACAAATTATCCAAGAAAGTATTTTGAGCTCGCAGCTTACATTGTCGGTTATTTGGTTGAGCTCAACATGTATACCAAAATGCGCGTTAACTCAGACATGGCCCATTAACCCACCAAAGAGAACCAAGAATGGACTCAAGCCAGATTTGTCTACAATAATAGTATGATAGAAAACACAATTGTGGCACTCATCAGTTCACATGACTCGATCAGAGAAAACTAATAACTTGACAGTTAACTTGAATGCGACTGGATACTAAATTGGTCACTTGCCTCCTCGAAAATCAGCATCAAGCCTGACATTTCATTTAGCTATAGAAGATGACATAATATCATGTAGCCTAATGTATTTTTTCATTATTAAACTTTTTTCAATCATATAATATAATACAAAACACCCCAAAATTTATAAATAGGGGTAGACAAATGGATGAAAAAAAATCCTCTTTAGGGTTCTCTCTCCATCTATTCTCTCTTTTTGTTTCTTTCTTTCTCATTTAGAGTGCTCAAGTCTTAAGTGGGGTGCTCACATACAAATTTGTATCCAACACAACGTAATACGAAGTACCAAGGTAAGGCTCTCTTAAGTAACTTTCTAAGATATATTTTTAAACGACTTGGAAATAATCAATATTTAAGTTGTAAACAGTTCATGCCCGTTCAAAATCAACAGCTTTTCAGGCTCAGTTCAGGTACTCATCATGATAACTAATTTGATCTTAACGAATATGAGAGTATATCAATTATCTCCTTTTTGTACCCTAAGAGATGTAGATAAGGACAAGAAAAATAAACACTAAAAAACCCTTATTCACCCTTGACTCATGCCTATGTGTCAATCTAGTGCATTGACATCAAAATGCATAAATTTTTGACATGATACATCAACATCAACGCTACTAAATTTAAGATCGAAACTTCATTTTGGAACTCCATTGCTTAAGTGAAAAATGTTTTCACATTAGTCTTAAATTGCCTTAGAGCTCGCCTTCTTTTAGAGCAAGATAATTCGAGAGAATCGTGTGCTTAGGTATGTAGTCAATGAGTTTTGAAAGAAATTTAGCAAAAAGGCCAAAAACCAGAAATTTCCTCTACCTATCAAGGGTCTGTCTTCAGTGGAGAAACCAAAGAGAGGAATGTTTGTAAGAAGAAAAGAAAAAAAGAAGAATTAAGGATTCTCAACCAAGCAAGGTAGCTTTAGAGGTGACTACTAATGTTGAAAAAACCATTTATGAGGGAGCAAACAAAGTGGTGAGGAGTTCGCAAGACAGTCTAATAATTGAAGGAAAGATTATTACCCCTCCTGGAGAAGAACAAGGCGGAGGATTAGAAACTCCGAAGCCATCCCCATACACTCAAGTAATCAAATTCTTTTACAATCCAACATTCAACACACCTTAATGCAATGCTTTTATTTTCAAATTAGTTTTGACAACCACCCAAAAAACTTGGGAGTAGCTTCATTAGCATCCCATAATTTTGCTGCTATTGAAGAGAGAACGCTAAAAGAGAGACAGAGTCCAATAGAGTCATTGGTGAAGAGGATGCCCATATCATAAAGGGTGATGGGCTCTATTGATAATGGACGTTTCACTCAACAAGAGATGAGGGTCTAACAAGATTGTTAACAATGAAGGAGATAGTGTTGGCATTGAGAGCAAGCTTCGAAAAATGAGGAATTTGAGAATCTTGGTACTAAGAGGACTAGAATTTTGATGTCATGGTTTATGCTACAAAGTTGCCTAAGATGGAACTCACAATAATGAGCTACTTGTCAAAACTAAATGAGTTTAAAAAAAATTTTTGTGTGCCATGCTTAAAGTGAAAAAGTAATAGTCTAAACGTTATAATTTTGTATTATTTTCCCTTAACTTAATGTTGTAGAAGTTCTATTTAAAACAAAATAAGAGTTTATTTATTCTTTGAATTTCTTTCTTTATGAGAAGTTTAAGAAGTAAGTATGATTAGAAAAGTCTTCCCACTGATAGTAGGTAAATCTGTTTGACCTCATTTGGTTAAAGTCAGACTTAATTATATAGTTGTTGAATCCAAAATTGTCCAGGAGACGTGCCTAAGGTATGGAGCACGAAAAGAAGCAAGAGGGTGATAGAGAGAGTAAGACTACAGTCTTGAACAGTAAAATCGTGTAACATTTACTCATGAAATGGGCCCCCTATTTAGAGGAATGTGGACTAGTGGATAACATCTGTACCCCTAAAAGGTAAGCACAGTAGAAGAGTATTATGGATATTTTACATTATATAGAGCTGAGATCCTGAAAATAACCTCTCGTCCTACTAATACGCTAAGCAGTCTTGGGCTGGATGGTTGTCCGACCGAGAGACGATCTGGGAGGCCTTAGGCTGGAGGGTTGTCCGGCTGAGAGACGATCCGGGCTACCTTGGGCCGGAAGGTCTGTTGGCCTTGTGCTGGTTGTTTTGCTCTAATCCGATCTTGAGTCGGATCTTTCCCGGCTGAAATATGTCAGGCAAGTGAGGACGAATTCCCAAACAGTTCTATGTGGGCCCCCTCTTGCCACATCACACTCTTTTTTAGTCATTAGATATCTCTAAAATTCGTGTTGATATATTTTTTATGTACATATTTAAGTTCTCTGATTCCATTGCTCCTCGGCAGTGACAGCTGCGATAAGGACAAAAAAATTTGATTCTCAAAAAGCGTTAACTGTAATCATGACTATTAAATACGCAATAATTAAAAATTCCTAATATTTTGCACCATTATCCCTATAAATAAAAGAATTTGAGAAGAAAGACTTATCTTTCTTGAGTTTCCCTAATCCTCCTCCCTCTTCCTTTGTTGTTTGCGGTCATGGAGAACGGGCGCCCTCCCAAACCGGTCAAGTTTAAAGAGGACGCTTGAGTGGTGTTCCAAGTGATGAAGCAGAAAGCCAAGTCTGCAAAAAAGTAGTCCGGAAAACACGTATCATACGAGAAAATATCTGAGCCGGTGGACGAGGTAGGGTCGCCAGACTCGCTTAACGGCGGTCCTGCAGAAGGGTCCATGATGAGAGTGTGTGATTTCTCTGTGAAGAAATTTTTTTATGGAGGAAACGGTTCGCTCGGACTATAAAGATGTGGGACAGTCAGCTACCCCTCTGGTTTTTCCTATGGAGACTAAGGGACAAGGTCAGGAACCTGCTTTTCTGTCGATTCCACCGTAGGCGACGGAGGGCTCATCCCTAACCCTTGCCTGACAGATGCTTCACATCTTCCGCCGGTGAAGCAAGAGACTGGGGAAGGGGCCTGCTCCTTAACCACATCTGATCAGAACTGATTTATGGGACCTTCCTCAGGCGAAAAGTGAAGACTACACCTCCCTCAATGCTGCTCAAGCCAGTGTTGCAGTGAATTTGTCTCTAGGCGTTCTGGTGGGTAACTAGGGGATGACTCAAAGTGTCCATAGGTTGACCTGGTGGGAGCGACTGTTGTGTCAGGCGGGTCTAGCTCAACTAAAC